TTTGGATGAACTCCAGTGATGTTGGTGTGGTTGGAGGTGGTTCATTTCGCTTGCCCCACAATCTCTTCCGTTCCACATTATTGTACATTATGTGCTTTTCATCGCCCGTCACAATTTGTTTTAAAAACGGAACGTTTTCGTTATCTTTAAGTAGAGAATCGCACGCGGAAATATGGTCAATAATGTGTCTTTCGCTTAACTTATGTGGAACCCAAACATCAAAGCGATTCGCAAAACCCAGCTGGTGCAAAGGATTTTCAGCGCTTGATCTGGATATTTTGAGTATGCTGTCTATCTCCCACGTGGTATAACGTTGATTGTCCTCCATTAATGTCTCGATTTGATTGCTATCAACTTCAACTGGTCTAATCCGAGTGAGGAATTTTACAAACCATTTTTGACACGTTCGATCCGTCACAGCACCGTCTCCACACGCTGCACAAATCTTTTTGTGCATTTCAGCTGCATTTTTACATTTCTTGAACTAATAAAGCATGACATGCCGAAAATATTGCTTTTTTTCCTTCCATCTTCAACACTAAGATGGCTACACAAAAATTCACCAAGTTTTATAAGTCTTTTTTTAAATGCACGCTGATATGATAGCTGTCACATACAATCTAACAAAACTTTCCAATGAAGTGAAAGACAACTAGGTACTGCTAGAGACAGCTTACCGGGAAAAACGAACGAACGTCTTGGCCACCGCAACAGTCCGTTCGTCCTGGTTGCCGTATGCCACCCACTGCTGCTGGGTAGTTGTGCTGCTGCACGGTCTACCACAATTCACTGAAGTATCGTCGCCTTAGACACTTGGGGGGGGGGGTCCAGACTTCGTCCTTATTAACGACGCCGCCAGGAATATTCCTGTAGCGTCTCCGGGTGTCCTTGAGCCAGGTTTTCTCTAGAGTAAATACCACAGAGCGGAATTGTTAGATCGCAAGTACACGCACCTTCACGACCCTCAACCGCCCAGAGTGGGCGCACGGCCTACGCCGCCGCCAGCGTCAGAGGATCCCCGCGGTCCACCCACGGCGCAGGTCAGAGCGTCTCATTTCCGCCAAGCCAGCGGGTGCAGTGTGTCTAAAATCCAACCAGCCTAAGCCAGTCCCTGTGGTTTTAACGCGTCCCCGGGTTAGCACTGCGCCCGAACGCCTTCTGTGTTGACCGGACACCTGGATTCCTCCGTTTTAAAGCACTTGCCCAACTCTTCTGCCCACTTCCCACCGGGATGTCTGTGCTTTTCTCCAGGAGTCCTTGGGCCTCCCGGACACTAGCTTTCCAGACACCACACGCCTCTCGGGCGTCTCCTCCGGGCCTGCGGCTTGTTTCTCTGAGAAGCCTTTTTCTTTTTCACTTTAGTCAGATTTGCCAGCCTTCTCCCGTTAGCGCCTGTAGTACCACGCATCCCATCCCTTGGCCGCGAAGGCGGCTCACGGTTATTCCCAGAGCGCGCTCACCCTTACCTTCCCGGCGTCCGCCTCCCTCAAGCAGCCCCTCCGCGCGCGCCCGTCCCTCAGCGTCTAGCCCGCTACGCCGGCGCCCGCCCTTTCCCAGGACGCAGCGCGCAGGCGCGCCCGCCGGGCCCCCGCACCGCACCGCCTAGTGCGCCTGCGCCGAGAGACGCCCCGCCCTCCACGCCGGTCGTCTATAAATGCTCGAGCGTCTCCTCGCGAGAGCCTTGATTCTCATGCTCGCTGTTGGGGTCGGAGGTCAGGGCGAGCGTCTAGCGGGCCGCAGGAGGAAGATGGCGGTGGAGTCGCGCGTTACTCAGGAGGAGATTAAGAAGGAGCCCGAGAAGCCCATCGATAGGGAGAAGGTGCGGGTCTAGAGAGGTAGAGGGGGCCCCGGGGCGGAGGGGCGGCCGGGAGGGGGCGGCCGTGCGCGGGTGGAGGGGAAGGAAGGGGCCGCGCTCGCCGCCTCCTGACTCTCGCCTCTCCCGCCCCCAGACCTGCCCGCTGTTGCTGCGCGTCTTCACCACCAACAACGGCCGCCACCACCGCATGGACGAGTTCTCCCGCGGAAACGTGCCGTCTAGTGAGCTGCAGATCTACACCTGGTGAGTCTGGGCCTGGCGTCGGGGCGGGGGTCGCTGGGGGCCCGCCTGGCGCGTTTTCAGTTCCTCCAGCGCTCGGGGCCTCTGGGCGCAACTCGCGGGAAGTCGGGGTCTCAGCTGTTGGAGAAATGGGTATTTGCTTATCTTGTGGCGCTTTTACGTCTGAGGTTGAAACTTTTGGGTTGTAAAGAATTGAGCCAAGGTTGCTGTCACTGTCTTGGCTGCTTGGTACGAAAGTGACACGTAGGTCGTTCAGTGCGGTAGCCGCCCCTAAACTTGGTCGAGTTTGTGGTGCTAGAATAACATGGGGCGGGGGAGTGGCGCTGTTCGGTGGTATTTGTCGTCCTCGTAGAGCGTCTGCACATAATACTAAGCCTTAGGTGTCCTAGCATGGAAAAAAACAGAACCGGGTGGTTTTTGTTGTGGTGCTTAATGGAGAAACTTTTGATGTGTGTTTCCTGAAGACCTGCCCCTGAGCGTTTTCCACTCAAGCGTACCTTTCCTACCCCGCGTCTGACTAGGAGCATCACATACAGCAAGCTGCATGCAGCTCCTTGGTTGGACGTTACCGTGGCTTTTTAGTAGCTGTAAAAGGTGTATAATTTTTAAAAATACATCTAGTGTGGTAAAATATATATTTGCCATTTTAATTGTTTAAGGGTACAATTTGCTGGCATTAAATATATTCACATTGTGCAACCATTACCACTATTTACAAAACTTTTAAATTCCCCCCAGCAGAAATTCTGTACCCAGTAAGCAGTAACAATGGGAATTCCTCCCTTACCCCAGTTCCTGGTAGACACTCCTCTATGTCTATATGAATTTATCTATTCTAAGTATTTAATATAAGTGCTCTCATATCGGATTTGTCCTGTTGTGTCTGGCTTATTTCACTTATGTTTGCAAGGTTCATGGTTTAGTATATAATAAAAAGTCATTCTTTCTTAGGGTTGAATAATAGTTCATTGGAAGGATGTGCTACATTTTGTCCACTTGTCTGTTGATGAACACTTAAGGGGTTGTTTCCACCTTTCAGTGAAATTTATGTAGTATGATTCTAGTTAAGTATTGTTCCAGGATAAAAGTTCAGGAAGGTTGATTTAACTTATAGGGAAGAACTGTTATCAATAGATTGATGAACACCTCTGTTCAGATGTTAAAAGTCTATATTTCCTCCAACAAATTAAGAGTTCCTATTTGCCAGGTGCTTTGCTTAGACCCAGAGGGTATAAAGAGGGTACTGTCCCTCTCTAGAGTAAACACAATCTCAGAGAGAAAGCAGATGAAATAAATGCTAATTAAGACTTTAGGGTGGAGATGGCAGGGTGAGACTGTTCCACAGACTCTCTCAATCAAGAAAGAAATTACAAAAATTTCCTGTCCTAAACTGTCCTGTCCATAAACTGCAACCAAACTAGGAAAGACAACCTTATGTTATACCTCAAAATGGTGGCTAAAGAAAGACAGGATGGTTGGTGAGGGGTAGCACAGAGCCCTGCTGCCACTCCCAGAAGCAGTAATGAGGGAAGATTGGGAATTCTTAATTTGTAGAAGTAGACTGAGGGGCCAAGGTAGGAGGCCTTAAGACAAACCAAGGAAAAAGGAGTGAGGTCCAGAGGAGCCCAGCAGAAGCTAGTTGAGTTTGCTAATGTCCAAGGCACTGTGTGGAGCTGTGGGAATACCCACCCAGGAGTGACACATCCTGTGCTTGGGTGACCACTAAACAGGTTATGGGAAGAGAATTATGTAGATCACTGTAACGGTTCAATCAGAAACACAGACCAATAGGAGATATAAAGAGATTTATAGCAAAGAATTGGTTCACACAATTGTGGGGACTGCTTAGGTACTTAAGTCCCTAGTCTGTGGTGCATAACCTGTGGTGCAGGTTATGATGAAGGGCAGGCTGGAACTCTGCAGCATAAGCTGCTGAATTTCTTCAGGGAATTCAGTAGCTCTGCTCTGAAGGCCTTTTCAACTGATTGCATGAGGCCCACTCATTGATTAAAAGGGTTTACTCAGATTACCTAGGATAATCTGCCTTAAAGTCAACTGATTGCAGACTTTAATCCCATCTAAAGAACACCTTACACAACACCTACCTTAGTGTTTGAATAACTAGGGGCTGTAGCTTCTCGAAATTGACACATAAAACTGACCCTCACAGTCACCTAGCAAAGGCTTCAACCCCGAGAAAGCTCTTGCATTTGTCGCCTGTGTAGTCACCTTTTAGACTGCTAATCAGAAAGCAACACTTGGCACTGCAACTGTTGGTTTGGGGAGAGTCCTCAGCAGGTGGGAAGCTTGTGGAGGACTCCCACTGTTTAGGACTGACAAAAGGTGTGAAACGAATTCCCCACGTTCATTATGAGCAAGATGACAATATGTGGGAAATGTTGGAAAGGAAGAAAGAGTCCTTTCTGGTACATAAGTATACACTGTACATACCAGGGAATAATTGACACAATAAACATCATTAGAATGTCAGGTTAAGAAAAAAAAGTTGAGATGAGTTGGAAGCAACATACAGAGATTTGAATAATGAGAGGTTGAAATAAAGCTGTGATGGTGGAGATGGAGAAAAAAATAGATTTGATCTGTCTTTTGGCTGTGCCACGTGGCATGTGGGATCTTAGGTTCCCGACCAGGGATTGACCCTGCACCTACAGCAGTGGAAGCGTGGAGTCTTAACCTCTGGACCACCAGGGAAGTCCAGTTTGATCTGTCTTTAGGAGGTAGAAACAACAAGATAGAGATGGGAAGAACTGAACAATGCTTAGGTTTGTGACCTGGGCATCTAAGTGGGTGACGGTAGTTTTGAGGGTAATATGAGAGGAAGGGTATGTTTTGCGGGGGACACTGTTGAGTTCTGTTACGGGCATATTGAGGATTCAGCAGCAGTAGAGAACGGAAGTCGATGTGGTCATTGTGGATGTTTTTATTCTCACTGCAGTTGAAGCCATGGTTCTACTTGAGGATAATGTGGTAGAGATGGTATAAATAGGGTGCAGAGTTAAAGCTAGATGATGCCTTGGGTGTTTGATTCCCTGCTCGATGCTGTCCATTGGAATTGTCATCTTTACAGGTGCCTTGTGTCCAGGGTCATTGTATAGCACTCTGCAGGCTGTGTTGCTTCAAGTTCCAAGTCCTCTGTTTCATGTTCCCAGTTGTCAGGGAAGAAAACAATTCAGAAACTTAGACTGTTGCTTATAATACAAGATGCTTATATTTTAAAAGGTTTTTCCAGATTGTGCCATATTAGCTCAAGGGACTATATTAAATTCTGAGTTCAAATAGAAGTTGGCAGGACAAGAATATATATTGTGAAAGGAGCCTATGCTTAGTCTTGAAAATTCCATAGGTTTCATTGGCTTTAGGAGTCCATCTATTGTAAAACTCATCAGAACACTCAGTCTTAGAAAGGAGATGCTAAAATGTAGAAAAGTATGTCTTTGAAATAATGAAAAACAATTATTTTAAGAATTTGGATTAATTTGGACTAGTTATCCTTAAGTGGGTAAATCACTAGGCCAGTGAGATGTTACACAGCAACAAAAGGTAGCATATGTAATTCTGAACTCCCTTTTAGCATATTACCAGTCTGACCTTAATTCATGAAAATTTCAAACACTGAGGCTGGTAAGGGGAATATTTGGGGGCAAATAGTATTAGTAGGTGCTTCAAAATTAACTCAGTTGTAAGACCCTGACAGTTTCTAAGGTAAAGTTGCAATTGAGACACAGGTAATTAACTCACTGTGTGTCAGTATCCTTGGTTACATCATTGCTGATTAATCAAATGTAATGTCTTTTTTTCTAAAAAAAAAATTCAGGATGGATGCAACCTTGAAAGAACTGACTAGTTTAGTAAAAGAAGTCTACCCAGAAGCCAGAAAGAAGGGCACACACTTCAATTTTGCAATTGTTTTTACAGATCTTAAAAGGCCTGGCTATCGGTAGGTAACTTTTCATTCTTAATTCCTATAATCTCTTTGATTTCAGTATGTTCTAACTGATAGGGATAATCCCTTCAGTGAATCCCTTTAGTGGAGGGGGAACTACAGATTTATACATCTTAATATCTGGTTTGGATTAATGCAGTGCTTACATTTTTTAACTGTGCTGTCAGATAAGGGGGCAAGGCCAGCCCCACGGGCACTTCGTAGCACACACTGGCATTGACCAGCCACCCTTTAACAGTTGGTCTCCTTCCCTGCAGAGTAAAGGAGATTGGCAGCACCATGTCTGGGAGAAAGGGGACTGACGACTCCATGACGCTGCAGTCGCAGAAGTTCCAAATCGGAGACTATCTGGACATAGCAATCACTCCTCCAAATCGGGCACCACCTCCTTCAGGGCGCATGAGGCCATACTGAATTTTATTTACTGTTTCTTGAATTTATTTTCCATTCAGTTATGTAAAATAAACTTTCGCTTTTTCGTCCTCCCCTTATTGCCATTAAGCCTTTAAACTCTAAACAAATTGTAATGCATCTATTTAGGAGTTAGATTTGGCTTTGCTGTGGTATGAATATTAATAGAAAGTCCATGTTTCACGTTCTTCTGTAAAATATGAAAAGTGCTCTTAGCATTATATGTAAAACTGTATTATGTTGCAGTCACTTGGAGTGTGAAAGTTAATGGGGCATGGGTTCAGGGTTTAATTTAGTATTGGGGGTTTATACTAAGTAGTGGAGTTGGTATGTTTAAGCCCAAATGGGGCAGAACAGGAAAGCCATGAGATTGTATTAAATAGAGCAGGAGTTTGTCGCCCAGAAGGTTGTATGGAGTTGGGAAGACCTTTGCGAAGGTGAGAGGGGCAGTTGAGGCATTTTGGAACAGTCTGAGCTGAGGCAAGTTGAAGAAGCTGTCTGTGTTTGAAGGGAGCGGCCTGCCTGAATCAAGGTGTGATGACAAGTTAGAGAAAAGGAGAATGGGTGCCACAGTGATGCCTTTTTATATTTTAAAAATGGTGAGAATGGGGCATTCTGAGGGCAGGAAGTAGTATAGAGGAACAAGGATTAGAACTTAGGATAAGGATGGAAAGGTTTACCTTGAAGATCTGAAAATGCAGGGAGGAATGAAAGAAGAATCTTAAGACCAAGGGAGAAGGTCAGGGGTGAGGTCAAGTTAAGTAGGGGATGTTCACACACCCTGTTCAGTGCTGGGGCTGACTCGCTTCTGATTTGAGAGGCAGTATGCACAGTGGTTATAAGCAGTTGGGCTGAACATTTAAATCCTGGTTACACTAACAGCAACCTTGGACAAGTTACTTGAACCTGTTTTTTTTTGGTTTAAAATTTGTAAAATGGAGGTTAACAGCCCACAGGATTGTGAAGACTAATTAAATGTTTGCAGAGGGCTTAGAATAGTGTTTGACGTGTAAGAAACAAAGTTAACTATAGAGTTCAGTCAGAACGGGTGCCGTCTCTTCCACAGCACTGTTACCGTCTCATTTTGAAGTTTATAAACAGTGTGCAGTATGTGATAAGGCCAGTTACCTTTAGTCTACTGCAGTGGAAAATTTTGAAAATGTGTATTCCAAAATTTGAAAAAATGTACTAGCAAAGTAAAATTGCACTAATTTGATCTTGTACCTACAAAAGCAGCCTTTTGAATCTAATGACTGTAAGATTGGGGTCCCCGGTGCAGTCAACAGGTGACAGAGGCAAGCCTGCAACCCAGATCTAGGGCCTCTTCTCCACTGAAGTTTGCACAGACCCTTCGATTCTTTATTCATTCACACTAGATAGGCTTGAGCTCCTTAAGTCACACAATTAACTTAAACCTAATTTTTTGGAGAAGAGGAGCCATGATTACCTTCCTGTTTGTGGAGAAGACACATACTGTGCAGATCAAGAAGGCAGGAACTCATTAAAGGACTTTGAAAGCCAACTTTTCATAATGGTGTGAACTCCTACAATGGGGGCTTCGCCTGTAATTCCAGGCGAGTTGAAAATAAAGCGGTTTATTTGCTTGGTTCCAACGTGGATTTTTTTTTTTTTTTTTTAGGTAAAATTGGTACCTAACAATATATTAGTCTCAGGTATACAGAATAATTCATTATTTGTATGCACTACAAACTGATCACCACCACAAGTCTATAGTTACCATCTGTCACCATACAGTTGACCCCCTTAACCCTTTTGCCCACCCCTGCCCCCCTCACCATTGATAACCAACAATCTGTTCTATCTATGAGTTTGGTTTTGTCTTGTTGGTTGGTTGGTTTTGTGTTTTGGATTCTACATCTAAGTGAGATCATGTGGTACTTGATATCTTTCTCTAATTCTACTCAGCATAATGCCCTCTAGGTCCAAGTTGTTGCTAATGGCAAGATTTCCTTCTTTTTTAATGGCTGAGTAATATTTCATTGCATGTATGTATGTGTCTGTATGTGTCTCACAACTTTATCCATTCATCCACCCACAGACCCTTAAGGTTGTTTCCAAACCACGGCTATTATAAATAATTCCTTAGTAAACATGGGGGTGCAGAGAGCTTTTCTCCACACCCTTGTCAACACTTATCTCGTCTTTTTGACAGGTGTCAGGTGTTATTTTTGTGGTTTTGATTTGCATTTCCCTGATGATTAGTGATGTTGAGCACCTTTCCATGTGTCTGTTGGCCATCTCTATGTCCCAACATGGAATTCTTCCATCAAAAGTACAGTTAAAGAATACCTAGTGAATTTATCATTGAATATAATGCTAAGAATGAAAAGACTTGTACTTGGTCCTTATTCACCTCTGGCTGTGACAGTACGGCTTTGAGTGAGCAGCTGAGCTGTTTCACGGTCACCGTGACGGCACGTGCTCAGCCTTCAGTGTCCTGACTGCCTCACAGGCTCTTGAAGTGTTTTCCCTTCGGAGGTTGGTATCTTCAGTTTTCTCACAGCATACAGGAGCTTGGCATTTTCAGCTACTTACCGGATCCTCGGTAGGGAGTCGATGTTAGTTTATACTTAAATTTTCATTACCATCGTGGGCACTGGCTCAGGGGATGTTTCAGACATCAACTCTGTGTGTGTGCATGTAGGGGCAGCTGTGAAGGGGAAAGAAAGCTGTTAAACTGTTAGGCAAACTCTTGTTACTCTTACGTAGAGCAGAACTCAGCCTACCTGTTTCTATTCTATCACAAACTCCAAACTTAGCTGTTGTGAAATGGAGCAGCTTATAATTTGAGTGCTGAGCTGTGCTGAGGAGCTCGGGTGGTGCCTGACCTCATGTAACCTTCAGCACTGAGGTGCAGGCAGTGGCTACCATTTTCACTTCAGCCGAAGTGGAGGCCTGCTTTAAGTAACAGCTCACAAGTGGGCTGGGAACCTCTAGGTAGACAACAATAGATGACTTGAAACATACGTTTCCAAAAATAGTGTTGTGTTTTCCTCAGCTCACTGCCAGCTGGCTTCCACCGGCTGCACTGGTACTGCTCTTGCGGTGAAGCTGTCTGCATTACAGACTTCTGCCAGGGGACCGTCATCCAGAGTATGTGGGCATGCTTCAGTTCTGGTGCAAACCAAAACACCTGTCTTTTAAGGAAATGATACGGTCATGGTTTCCAGGTTGAGTGTCAAGAGCAGCCAGGTGAGGTCTGAGTGTTCTGGTGTGTATTGTATTGCTTAGATATAGGTTGTTCTTACAAATTGCTACAGTTTCTTGGAACCTGTAATGGAACAAGCTTGAAGGAAGCATATTTATTCTGTTAGGATTAATCATGAACTAGGCAACTCTTCTATGAAGACAGTCATTGATCTCCCCCCACCCTGTAATCCCTAGGAGGAATAAGCTGAAACCTAAAAAGCAGTTTTAATAATAAATACTAAAATAATTTTAATAAGCAAAACCCATCAGCCTGGGAGTGTCGTGAGTTTACTCTATAAAGGTGATCTAATCACACGCCTACCTCAAGAACACCGTTGAGAAGAGCCAGATGAAAGGGGGCTTAGAGGAGGGCCTGGTAGAGAGGGCATGTTCAATAAACAGCTGTTCTAAAAACAAGAAAAAAGGCACATGTAGCCCCCTCACTTCATGCCTTCAGCTGTCAGAATTTCCTGCTCCTGCCCACGCTGGCGGGCCAGCCCAGCTGCAGCCAACAACTCCTCAGAAAGCGTCCAGGAGAGGACGAAACTATGAATGAGGTGAACCACCCGAGGCCTTTCCAAAATCTGCATGCATTACTGGAGACCGTCAGAATCTGTAGTAGTACTAGCTCCTTCCACACTTCAGGGAATAAAATACGGGATGAATGCCGTGGGCCTGGGGGTGCAGACAGACCCGACACACAGACCCTTCCTCAGAAAGCCGCAGTCTGGTAACAAAAGGTGTAAGTGCCGATGATCAAAGGCGGATTAGAAGGTGTCGTGAGAAAGACAAGTTGCTGCTGAGGATGGCATGTGACCTTGTTCAGCGCCCACAGGGGTTGGATTTCGGCTCCCAGTAGATAAAGGGTGGCGTGAGCTGAAACGCCAGGAACACCGGAGCACTCACCAGGAGTTTGGCCAGAGATCAGGATGAAGAGGACCGTAGGATGCTTCTGCCGTCAGGTGACAAGCGGGGGCGTGGTGGAGGATGGGGGGAGGGAACACAGCCCAGAGGCGGTCAGCAAGGTCTGGGCTGGGAAAATGGGACGTGGAAAGAGAAGTCCATCATTAAAGCCTCAATTTCCTCATCTGAAAAGTCGAAATGCTAGCACCTATTTGCTAAGAGTTACTTTTTAAGAATTAAATGGGTTAATGAATGTACTTAGAACCATGCCTAGCATAGTAAGACCTCAGTAAGTGTTTGATGTTATCACTAACCAGTAAATATTTTAAGTTGGCAGGTACCAGTGTAATAATGAACAAGGCAAGCAAATGAGGTCCTTGACCACATTGATCTTATGGTCCAGTGGGGCAATGAACATTAAATAAATGTACACTCAAATATTCTGTTACAGATTCTACCAAGTACTATAAAGGATGAGAATAGGGCGCTGACTGGGAAAATCGGTAAAATCTTTGATAAAATGACATTTAATCTGAGACCTGAAGCAGATGAGGCAGGACTGTTAAGAGCTTCACGAAACGAGAAAACAAGGAGTTCATGAATCATTTACCTGAAAAATTGGGGTTAGAGTTGGCCTCCAAGCCCTCCCACGTCTCCTGCTGGAACTTCGGTGGCAGCTCCACCTTCGGCCTCTCCCTTCGTGGCTCCGGGTACACATCTCTGCACATCCAGAAAAACGTTCTGCTCTTCCTAGTAGTTCCCCAAAGTCCCACAGTTGGCTCTCTTGGATATGACGTGGGTCACGTGCCCAACACCAACTGGTAAGGGACTGTGACCCTGCTTGGTTGGTCTTGGAACTGGGCTGAGCTCAGGGAAAATCGGAGCGTTTTCCTTTAAGGGGGTAGGAGTGGTGGGCAGACAAAAACATCAAGTATCTACAGCATAAGGATGTGAGGGATAGTCAGCTGAGCAGAGTGGGTGGGAGAAGCCATTTGGGCAGAGAGAGCACCTGTGAAGCCCGGGGCCTATGAAGCCCAGGGCAGGAACGAAGGGAAGGAGAGGAAAGGCCGGCTGCCAGCTGGAGCCCAGGTTTTGAGACAAGAGGGAGGGGCAACTGAGGGTCGAGTCACAGGGGGGTGGTCCTGGAGGCCATTTTGGGACCCTGGATTCCTCTTGAGAGCAGTGGGAGGACACTGAAGTGTAACATTTGAAGTTTGATAAGCCGGAAGCATCCTAGTTCTAGGGAACAGAAACTAAGATCACAGGAGGAGAGTGGTAAGGGCCAGGGAAAGAGAAATTCTGGTCAAACTGAATTGAGGGGCCATCACAAGACAGGTGGAGACACCCAGCAGGCCATCGGAAATGATTAATGGAACGTTCTTTATTTCCCATCTTCAAAAACCTGGTTTGACTCACACCCCCTCTGGCTGCAGCACCATTTCTTCTCTCCCTTCTTGAGCAAAACTCATGAAAAGAGCCGTCTCAGTCCGTGATCTCTGCTTCCTCACCTCCCACCTTTCCAGTCCACCCCAGAAGTCTGTCCTGAGCGCTCTGTCAGAATTCATCAGTGCTGTCAGCAACAGCAATTTTGCCAAGTCCAGTGGTAATTCTGTCTTGTCTTGGATTCTCAGCAACATTGATAGAATCGATCACTTGGCTTGAAGTATTTCCTTCCTACTTCACCAGCTTCTTCATCTCCTTTGCTAGATTTTTCTGCCTCTTTCCATCTTCTAAAATGGAACTCCAGGACTCAGCCCTGCATGCACTTTGAATATACTCCCTCCCTCAAGCAATCTGTCCACTCTGTGGACTTAGGTACACAGAGCCATGGTAAATAGTGTATAAAAGGCTGATATAATTTGGGAGTCACCATCGTATATACAAGGCTGACCAGAGCTTACCTGGAAAAATAAAACTAAATATCTTGAATTTTACATTGTATCAATATTTAGCAAAAATTATTACACAGTAGTTCCTAGAACAAAGAATAAATTGTTTTGTTTTAGTGGCAATTTTCTGACAAAACGAAGATTCACAATGTGACAGGTCTTCACATTTGACTTTCAAGGCCCAACCATAAAAGAGGATAATCTTTGCTGCATCAACTTTACTTAGGCCGGAAGGATCTTGGGCTCCATGGACAGGGCAGCCTGGAGCTCTCAGACAGCTCTAGAGGCACAGCGGACAGTCCAGAGATGAGCACCTGGCCAGGAGGAGTCCTGGGACCCTCCACAGAGTGTGAGGCTCAGGCTCTGTTGGGGCTGCTGAGCTGGAGGGGGACCTGGAGAGGTTGCAGCCATGCTGGTAAGAGGTGATTTGAAAGGATGAAACTGACAAGTAAAAATAAAACATCCGTCCTGACTGCAGGCAAGCGTCTAATTTCCAAAAGTCCGAGACACCTACTTCAGTATAGTTACCTAGGCCTGTAAATTCCTCTTCCTAAATTAATTTAAGCTGTCATTTGTAAACAACAGTGCCTTAAAAGAGCACTGTTGAAATAAAAGGTGTAAAAGACTTGGGACAGTCATGAGAGGAGACAGAAGGGCAGAGCTAGACCCAAGGAAGAAGCCCAGGTCTAGCAACAACTGTCTAGCCCAAGAAGACTGAAAGTGGCCTTATCTGAGTAGCAAACTGTAACGTTTAAATTTCAAAAATTATTTATCCTGCTTCCTAATATTACTTAAACCATACTCTTCCATTAGGCAGGGTAAATTTGAAATCAGTGAAATAGTAATGATCTTTCCAAACTGAGTAACTGAACTACACGTCAACAAGACTGAGGTTAGACTAAATCAAACTTAATAAAAAGCATTTAGTGACATCAGTGTCCGTGCTCATCTTTAATATGAGTTGGATTTTCAAAAGGGGAAAGATGTCGGGGAATGTGAAAAGCAAAGTAAGAGCAGGTTTGCTTTCCTCTTCAGTTTCTATGATGGAAGGATGGATCCACTACAATTTCTGTAGAAAGATACAAACAGAAAATATCAATTAGGTATAACCAATAGCCTTCAATGAAACAAATGACACCGAAGCCATCTATTTTTACACTTATAATATGGTTGGGAGTAGATTCCCAGTGACATTGTAAAACATGGTAGTGTGGGAGCCTGAGATGCAGGGATCACGAATTCTGGACCAAAAGAGAGATGGGGGGCTTCCCTGGTGGCGCAGTGGTTGAGAGTCCGCCTGCCCATGCAGGGGACACGGGTTCGTGCCCCAGTCCGGGAAGATCCCACATGCCACAGAGCGGTTGGGCCCGTGAGCCATGGCTGCTGAGCCTGCGCATCCGGAGCCTGCGCTCAGCAACGGGAGAGGCCACGACAGTGAAAGGTCCACATACCGCGCAAAAAAAAAAAAAAAAAAAAAAAGAGAGATGGGCTGTTACCTAGCTGGCAGATGTCAATTACAAGTGTTTATTACCATTCCAGTGTTCTCCTCAGGTAACAAATCTAGTCCCTCTAGGATGGGAACATACGCACTTTCACCAGTTTTCTCTGTTGCCAGCGTCTCGGACGTCCTGTCCTTCACACCGAGGAAGGAACACTCTGCTGGGCGGCACTTCTCTAACTGCTACCAGAGTAGCTAGGTTTGAGTTGTATTTTGATAAAATCTAAAAGAAAGCAAACTCCTTTCACCAAGTCATATGAACAACATAAATTTGGAAGCTGTTATAAAACATTCAAGAAAAACCAAGGAAAATCTGAAGATCTGGGTTATTTAAAACAGAGTATTTAGCAGCACAGACATTCAGCAGCACAGAGGTGGAGATATTAGAAGTTTAACTTGGGTGTAGCGGGGATTTCTAAAGCTAAATGCACTGCTGGGTTAGCGGAAGCAAGCAGCAGTGCACCCCTGTGAGCAGATCAGGCCTTACAAAGGCGGTAGGGAATCTGCATAGGAAAGAGGCGAGATGAACGCTCAAAGAAGGATCATTAGCTCTAAAGATTATGAAAACAGGAACCTGAAATGTCAACTATGATTTTTTCACAAAGAAGTAATACATTAAATGCAAGTTTTCCCTCCTTTAACACAGAAGTGAAGAGAGAAGGATCACCATGGCCAACTGGAAACTGTATATAATGCCTGTAGACAGAAGCTGCTCCTTCCGCAGTTTATTATAGTGCCGGGAAAGCACAAAAGATGGAGAAGGAAGGATAACAAATACTTTACTGCTGTCTTAGGATGAGTCCCTTCCCAAGTAGCTTTATCCTTCTCCATAAGCTAGGAAGGTCTCTAGAATGGTTATTAAGAATTCCATTTGCTTAAGCAATAACTCCCCAACACCGTAACTTTTATCAAGAGGGGATGCTCAAAGATTCAGGCTGGTGGTTATTTAGTAGAGTCGGTAGTTGCTATAAACCAGTAACAGACTACTGGTAAATTATGTTGTACTAAAGAATCAAACATTCTGTGGGAATTCCCTGGCGTTCCAGTGGCTAGGACTCGGCGCTTTCAGTGCTGGGGGCCTTGGTTCAATCCCTTGCCAAGGAACTACGATCCCACCAACCTCGCGGTGGCCAAAAAAAAAAATCAGATATTCTAATACGTTTAAACAAATGTTTCTCAAACTGAGGCCCAAGACATCTCAAGTTCAAGAAACAGTGATACAAGTTATGCATGATACTCCAACTCTGGAGAACTGGAGGGTAAATGACATTTCTGACTTTGCTAGAAACACTAGTGGAAACAATGGTCACCATGGTGATCACATTTGAACAATGATTAGAAAATATTATGAGAATACATTTCAGAACAAGAAGTTAAAGAGAAAATGCCTCATGAGGGAACAAAGGCATGATGACATCACTAGCTTGTGCTCAGCTCTGAAGAGCCTTAGCCAGGTGGTCTTAGACAGGCTTAACAGCCCAGAATTTAGATTTAGATCCAAACGAGCACATTAGCCCGATGATAAATAACACAGTTAAATATGGTTTAAGGTATTTTTGCAGAAAACAAACAATAGCCTAGAAAAATAACCTGGCGAATATCTTCTGGAATTGTAGTTACTTCTGGAGGTGTAGGTGTTCTGAGCAGATTCTCATAGGAAGAAATCGTAGGAGAAGAGGGATCCGCAAAATTCTCAAAGCACTCGTCTGAATTTAAAACTAACGATGTACTGTCTTTCATTTCCAAGTCATTTGATGAACTATTTGTTTTTGATAATGGATAATTTGTGGATACCTATAGAATAAAAAGAAATAATTAAATTATGGTGGTATAAAGTAATATAGTAAATAAAAATTGTTAGTTCTGTTGTGATCTCTAAGTAGGCCCCCAAATTACCCCCTCTTCCCTGACCAAGAACTAAATAAAATCAAGGACACAGAGAAATGGCATATGGAGGAAAAAGTACCATCGTCATTACTGAAGGCTGAGCAAGAGCTTCATGTGAAATCTAAATAGGCCTGTTGGCTGAACCCCAGATTTAGACGGATTCACCGCCCAGACTCAGGCAACACTATCCTGGGCCAGGTAAGAGTCGTAGGAGGATGAGCTACGCCCTCACTGCTGCCAGGGAGAAAGCCCATTCACGCCAACCTGGCCTGTCTCCCTACGGCAGAGTCAGCAATGAGGCCAGGAACATAAGCAGTGGATTACCACAAGTCGCATGGTGCTATTAAAATTTAATTATACATTAATAACATTTAAAAAACTGAAAATTAGCTTCTCGGATGCACTAGCCACATTTTACATGCTCAGCAGCTAGCTACCACACTGGAGAGCACAGATCACAGAACATTTCCATCACTGCTGAAAGATCCACTGGACGGCCCAATCTACCATATTGGTTGTCTTAAGTGTTCATACCAACTTTCAACAGGGATGAGGTTCTGATTACATAGTAAATTTGTTCAATGGGAAAAATTTGGAAAACAAAGGCATAAAAATCACCCATAGATAACCACTTTCTGGTGTGTTTCTATCCATTCTTATTCCTTAAAATAAAATATATGTGTATATAGGGCTTCTCTGGTGGCGCAGTGGTTGAGAGAGTCCACCTGCTGATGCAGGGGACACGGGTTCATGCCCTGGTCCGGGAAGATCCCACATGCCACGGAGTGGCTGGGCCCATGAGCCATGGCCGCTGAGCCTGCGTGTCCCGAGCCTGTGCTCCGCAATGGGAGAGGCCACACCAGTGAGAGGCCCGCGTACCGCAAAGACAAAAACAAAAACAAACAAACAAAAATATATATATATGTGTATGTGTGTATTTATATACATACACATATATATCATTTTCCATATCATTAAATATTTCTTGAAGACATTCTTTCTATATGTTCTTATCTGTTTTTCAAAACATCCTAGTCACATGACACTGGCTCTTATGGATTTACCATAATATACTTTGCTTCCCATTTATCATTTGACATTTAGTTTGTTCCCATATTCTGCTCTTATAAATAATGCTATTCTTGGGCTTCCCTGGTGGCGCAGTGGTTGAGAGTCCGCCTGCCGATGCAGGGGACGCGGGTTCGTGCCCCTGTCCGGGAAGATCCCACATGCCGTGGAGCGGCTGGGCCCGT